AAAGCAATCATTTAGTGGTAAACTCTAGAATTGTTGTAATTACACAAACACATATACTCACATATGCATTTTTAAAGACCTATCCATAAAGAAATGCTGATCAATGAAGGAAAAAGTGTTTATTTTTTTAGTGCATTATTTCCCAAGCAGGGCTAATCCATTCCTATTAGTGCCAAACTATTTAAATTGAGAGGAAATGGATAAGCTAGCTAAGAAATAATGCTATTAAAAAAGAAGAAGAAGAAATAATGTTATACTATACTATATAAAAATGAAAGATTTTCCCCATTTTCTTTACCAAAATGCTTTTTTTTTTTTTAACCAATTCACCATAAGGTAAAAGAAAAGGAAAAAGGGAAAGAAAAATTAACACAACCTCAGGGAGGAAAGTATTGATAGCAGAAACAATTTTAAGAGTCTTCTGGGACTTTCTGAAAGTCTTTACCTTTATTTTTCACCTTCAGAGAAGAAAGTGACCCTCCAACATACCTTTAAAGACTCCTGACTCTCCCTTTTTCTCTCACATTTCCTACGTCCCCAAAGAAGGGCTGAAGAGTTGTGAAAACAGACATTGGAGAGAGCATCACAGTTCCTTTTCACACTCGGGAGGTCTGAGTTCTACATTTATAGCCCAGGCCATAGGCCACCCTGACTGCTCAGGATCCTTGCCTCACCCAACCTGTGCAGTGCTTTGCAGATGGACAATGTAGGTAGTACCAGCACCTTTATTCTGCATAGCAATATCCAGTCCTCAAGGGTAAAACAACCAGAGGGTTGATTATGCCTTAAGTTGCAGCTGACTTTGTGTACAGAGAAGAAAAGAAAATAAGAAGAAGCTTTAAGTTCTGCTGTTCCATGTTAAATGACTACGCCATTCTCCAGACGACCAGAAACAATTTATAAGAGTTACAATGGGAAATGCAGGAGTTCTGCAAAGAGACAGACTTAGGTCTGAGGTATGACCCCGGATAAGTTACCTGATCTCTCTGAGCCTCATTTCCCTGGATGTAATCTGAGAAGGATGATTCCTATCCTGGAGTTTTGTTATGAGGACATAAGTAGAACTCAAACACATGACTAATACATGGCAGACATTTAATAAATGAGAGCTAAATACATTATTCCTTTGCTTGATTTTAGGAGAGAAGCAAAAAGCTCGATGTGAAAATGAGCCGAATCACTAATAAAAACTGCAGTACCCTGTTGGAGATGGCAATTTTTTTTTTGCTTTTCTGTGTCCAGTTTCATAGGCTTCTGAGTAAAATCATGATACTTACAGCTTCTAGAGCCTAGCAGTCATGTACTTGTCCTCAATACTGAATATGCTTAGTCATATTCTTAGATAACATTGCATGTTTTATTTTTAGAGACCCAGCCACCAAACAAATGACCAATACAAATTAACACAAAAGCAGTTAATATGAAAGTGCCCTGTTCTAACCCTTTATATCTGGCTTTCCTTTCCCTGTGGCAAGGTTTCCCAAAGTGTGTTCCCTATTACTAATTTTACAGAAGATCGTTACTGAAGATGTTAAGAAGAAAAAAGCATGTTTTTATTTTTGTTTTGTTCTGTTGTGGTTTTCCATGTGAGTTTTCAGAACCTTAAAAATTCTATTGTATATGAGGTATCTCTAAAAATGTAAAATGAGTCCTACATCCCCAAATTCTATTTGCCCACAAAGATGAGTTGAGGAACGGTCATCTGGATTCTTTTTGTCCTTTTGTGGAGACGTTTCCACAGGCACAATAATAGGGGCAATGGGGCTAGAGAAGGAGGGAAAGCAGAGAGAGCGAGTCCAAGAATTAATACTCTGTAAGAGTCACAAATCCTAATGCCTACAGGAGAAAGTGGTATCAAGATCAGAAGTAGTGTGGATGCATTACAAGAGAAGATGGTAAGATGACAGCAAACTGCAGAACGTATGTTCTGTCTACCACAATTCCAACTATTACAAAATATTCTGTGGGCCTGTTACATGTTTGTGGTTTCTGCCCTCCAGTTTTCCAGCATGAAGCCCCTGTTCTAAAAAGATCACTTTCATTTTTGTTTCAAATACAGTACCAGCAAGTAAACTTAAAGAATACCTTTTAAGATCCAAATTTTAACATTTTAAAGGGAGAGCAGAAAGGATATGACATGTATAGAGAAGGATACCACCCCCTTCTTCTCAGTCTTGACCATGGCTACCATTAGGCCTATTTCAGGGTTAAGAGATGGGGTTCTGTTTATAGTTTAGCACTGTGTTATCCTCAAATATGTGGTAAGAATAGCTCATGTCTTTTGAGCTCTTATATTTCCCCAGACACAATTCCATGTGCTTTACTTATAGTTCTTCATTTCATCCTCACAATAACCCTATTATTATCCTCATTTTGCAGATAAGGCACAGTTCAAGCCTCCAGCCTATAGTTACACAACTAGCAAGCAGTAGAACTGGGATTGAAATCCCAGGTGTCCGGTTCTAAAATCCACACTCTCTTTTTTTTCTTTCTTTCCTATTATTTAAGTAGGAGTTACTTGAATTCATGACTCTGAGATCAAGAGTCACATGCTCTCCAGCTGAGTCCACCAGGCACCCCCTAAAATCCACACTCGTGACCACTATTCTAAACTCAGTCTTGGAGATGTCTTGCTCCCCATTTGAGGGATAGATCAGTTTTGAATGCTTTGGACTGCAGCTGACAGAAATCCTGGCTAACAGTGTCTGGAACAAGTATTTTTCCACAAAATAAGAAATCTGGAAGCAGTGATCTACTGGCATTGGTGCTGTAGCTCAGCAATGTCAGAGCCAACCTCTCTCTTCATGGTCACAAGATGGCTAGCTCTCTCCTGGGCATTATATATATGAAATCAAGAAAGCAAGAAGTAGGAAGGTGTGCCAGCTTATTAGATATCTTTAATTAGAAAACTAAACTCTTTCCCAGAAGTCCCCAACAGACTTTAGCTTAACTTCATTGCTAGAATGACATCACAGGGCCATGTGCTGCAAAGGAGTCTGGGAAAGCAAGTATTTCTCTTCTCTAGCCCCAAGAGTAGAGGCAGGCAAAGGAATATCTGGTTGACAACAGGTGCTGGCTTAGCCAGACAACAATGTTGGCCACAGGAGTTTGGTTTGGTTAGGAAAATACCGAAAGAATTTCATCATACAGTGTGTCACCCATGCCATGACCCAAGGAAAGTTAAACAGCAACAATTAAAGTTGGCCACAAAACCAAAACTAAACTGTAGAACTCCTATTGCCTTTTCAAAGTGTTTGTTTCTATCCATTTCTAAATATGTGAAATGATGCCTCATCCTTTCCCTGATCAAACCTATCTACATAGTATGTAAAAACTCATTATTTGATATTCACACACTCAGATAATTTTATTATGCTATTCTTGGTTATTTTTAATAAAATATTTACTCATGACTAATAAATCAAAATGACAATTTTTAATACAGTTTCAAAATTGGATCAAAATTTGTCAGAAACTAGAAACTAGGAAACTTCATTGCTGAAAATATATAATACATTATTTGGATTTATAATCTATTTCCCATTTTGTACTGGCTCTTCTGTATCTTTCTACTACTTTACCTATAAGTTTTTTTCTTTTATGTTTTTATCATGACACACAAACTCAGAAAACCTATTAAGGTAACTATATAATGCAACCTAAATATCCAGTTAACATATTGCTATGGAAACCAGGAAACAGAAACAGCACTCTAGTCATTCCTTTGGACAAATATGGTTAATTGTGTGTGTGAGTATGTGTGCGAATTCATTAGTTTATTCACCTTTAATTGGAAAGATTAAAAAAACTGGTACTGAATTCCAAATCTATAGTGATCTGTCCATAAATATGACCAGTGCTGTCCAACCTGTAAATCAGCACTTAATAGCCATGTAACCAATATCATTAGATAACTAATAACCATGTGATATCAGGAAATCTTCAGTAGGACTGTGTTGTTTATTTAGCCGTGTCAGCCTTCGGCCTTTTGGCACGGTATGAAGAACACCTGACTGGGATTTGAGAGCTGGGTTCTAACCTCACCTCTTTAACCAACTGCGTGATCCCCTTAGGAACTCTTCTTAGGCACCCAGGTTCCTCACCTGCAAAATGGTTCGATGCAGAGCTCTAGTATTATGTAATAGGAAAGATCCTTTTCCATAAAATTGGGCAGTCATGAGATAATTACATTTGAGGATTCAAATTGCTGTGTGTAGTCCCTGAGAAAGTACCTGGCACATAGTAAGCTCTTAGGAAAAAGACAGCTATTCTTATTATATGTTTCTATTTTTCATTCTGTAGTAAATAATTCCTGAACTTGCACAGTAAGTGTTGTTTTGTCCCATGACTCAATAACAGATACCATTGTCTGACAAGCCCTTATGCAAGTCAGAAAGGAGAATGTTAAGACCTAACAGGCAGTGCTGTTCCTTAGGTTCTGTTACCTTTGAGAGTTAATTTTCTCTCAAAGGTTAATGTCAATTTTAATAGTCAGACATGTGAAGTATAAAAAAGTTATTCTGACACAATCCCAATACAATTCACCAGGCCCCAACCTTTTTTTTTTTTTAAATCATGGGATCTCAACACTCAAGAATTAAACTTTTGTTCTTTTGCTTGTTCATTGCTGTTTGCCTAGTTATTTAATCAGCCTGTTTCCGCTATTTAAAAAAAAAAAAAAAGTGAAAGAAGCTGAGGTTTCCTCAGGGCTAAACTCCTGTGTTGTTCTTCCTCCCAGAAATCTGAGTTATTATAGGAGGGGATAATGGTTGCATAATGAAATCATTGGGACAATTCTACATCCACTCCTACCTCCATCTCTGACAATGAATTCCTTGTCTCTGTGGTGTCCAACTCTTTCTACCCTGCTCCGGTGCCCAGCAGCTAAGTCAGCCGTGGGAGAGACTGGGAACTGGGCGTCGCGCTCTTCCCTCTGGCAGCGCGGGGGGGTGTGCGGAGTGTGCGCGGAATAGGCGCCCCTGGCGTCCTGCGCGCCTGCTGACGCTCGCCGCGCGAGCACCAGGAGGGGGAGACTCGGACTCGCTTATCTCCCGCTGTGCTAACTTCAAACTGCCCCGGCTGGGGGAGTTGAGAGCGCGCAGACAGGGCGAGAAAACTTCTCCACCTAGAAAGTTTCACCTTGGCGGGGGCGGGGGAGGGGCGGGAGGAAAGGCGACCCCCTCCCGGACTGGCGCTGCTCGCGGGCGGCAGGAAGGGCGGGGGCCGATTTCCCCCTCTGGGTGGTGCCAGTCCCCACCTCAGCGGTCCTAGGACCGGCGGACAAGGCGAACTACCCCGCGCGAGACAGACGGACACGTGCTGGGGCGGGCAGGCGGGAGAGCTCCTCGGTCGGGTCTCCTGGCGGTGCTTCCCGCCTGGACGCGCCCGGGGCGGCCGCGGGCCGCGCGCGCCGATGCCCGGCTGAGTCACCCGTCGGGTAGCGCGCGGGTGAGAAGGGGCGGAGGGAGCGCGGCCGGCTGACGGACCCGGCACTCGGCTCGGCCCCGCCGCAGGTGACCCGGACGCTCTCGCCGCCCAGAGCGCCCCGAGCGCTTTGTGACCAGATGCGGAACCCAGTGGAGGGCGCGAGCCAGATGTGGGGCGACAGCTGACTTGCGGCAGCGAGGCGCGGAGTACGCGGGTGGTCTCTGCGCGACTGACTTCGCGGTTCTCGGACACCGCAAGGTAAAGCTACAGCTTGCTTCGGACCCCGCACCCCACCCTTCGGCCCCAGCGTTCTGCTCTTTGTTCCCCAGAGGGACCTGAGAGCTATTCAGAGGGCACGACTAAGGAGGTGAGCGAGTTAGGGGCTTCAGAAACTGAAGGGATGTGCCCGGGGAGAGGTGTAAACTAGAGTGGGGCTTTTCTTTTTAGGGGTTTGCTGCTGACGGCCACCTGTAGGACTCAGGAGAGAGAGGGGCATTGGAGTAAGGGGTGATGTACGGCTGTTATGGCCGGGCATGTTTTGAGACTGTGATCTGACTCAGCCCTTAGAAAAGGGATTTGGTCACCCTGCTCTAGGGTGATGCGGCAGGCAAGATTCGAGCCCCGTGGGTTTCCTTGTTCCAAACCCGCTTTATCTGTAATACGTGAGGATCTTAACAAGGGGCAGGTGTTTTCGTGAGGGTCTGAATTCTACATTTCTGGCAGATACACAGGGCATGTGATCCATCATTTTCAATCTTACCTTATCTCTTCTCTGGGGCTGCGGGAAGGACATCTATCTTATTAGGTGAACTAGATTATAACCAGAGGTCGGTCGGTCTAGCTAGTACAGGTATTGACCCAATAATTTAAGCACCAGTGAAAGAAAGTATTTTCACCTACTATTGCCAATACAGGATTTACTCTAAAGTGTGGTTTCCCATTTCATACCTTTTATGTTTTAAGAGCCATTTACTAATTTGGCATTTGGAGAGATTTCCAGTGGTTGTTCATCCATGAATAGTTGCCCAGTGTTTTTTTACCTTATCACAGTTTAATGTTCAGAGGAGCTCTGGGGCAGATTGAAAAATATTGTCAACTCTCTTGGGCAAAATAACCAGGATACTATAATTGCCAAGTTAAGATGGTCAATGAATATGAGAGATTGTAAAAACTGACATTAGAGAGAACATAGACTGTGTGGAACCTCTCCTGAATTTTAAGAACACTGTTCACATTTTGTAGAGTTGGGTGGAGGTTTTATCTGTCGTTTTCATCAGCCAGACACATGGACATTGCCATGCAAATAGATCCAGAAAAATATTATTTTCCTTTATAGCTGAAGTATTATAGCTGACTAATGCATTTTTTCTGCATGAAGATGACCTGAAAATGTTGTACATCATGTTTCTCTGTGCTACAGGGACATAAATTGTGTTTTTATGTAAACTGTTAAGTGGTGCTTAGATAATTTACATGTATATAGCTTTCCTTTCTATCTCTAAGCTTATTGGGCTTTGTTTTAATATATAAACTTCCATAATAGAACAGAAGTGAGGTGCTTTGGTTCCAATCAGATACTGCAAGTCTGTGATGTATTCACTGTTCATGCTTTTTGAACTGCTGAAAAATACCCGTAACACTTCTATTACTCCTAAGAAATTTTTGTAGTACCAAAAATGTGTGTGAGTACCTATAAAATATACTGGTGTTTTAGAAAATCTGTTCAGGTTTCAATCTTAACTGTGCATAAGCCTAAAATTATAAACCTAAATATATTTTTATTTTAATATGATGGACTTCATAGCATGTAGAAGATGATCTGCTGAGTACTGTTTTTGAAAGATTGCTTTGTTCTTTATATATCACAGTAAATGTTTACATTAGATGTGTACTCCATGCCTTCAGAATTAATGTGTGAGTTTTATCGGAATGATAAAGACATACAGGATTAAACACAAGTCAGTATGAAAGCTGATAATATTTTTGTGACTTTTAATACTATCATAAAAGGAAAATGACACATTTCTAAGCAGGAGAAATACAAATAAATTCCTTAAGACTGTACAAGCATATGTCCCACTGTAATCTCAATATTTCAAAAATTTGTCTTGATGTGGGTTAGACTAAGAAATACAGTTCAAAAGTCAATTTTCTTAGTTGTTGGTTAAAAAAAATTCAAAATAATAGTCCAACTTTTTCCTTTTACAGATATATATAATAGCCTCAAATAAACTTTTTCTCAAATGTGGTCATCTCAAAACAAAGTGAATAACTCAAAAGGGTTATTCCTTTGAAAACACACAACTTTCTCTAGGTGACTGCACCAGTGCCTATGGTGACACACCCATGAAAAGTACAGGGCTCCGTACACGTACACATACAGAACACTTCCCATCTTTCTACCCTTTCCACTTCATCCTTGGTTATGTCAGAGTTGCTTCCAAACCCTTCTGTGCCCCCATTTTTCCACTCTAATTTCATGGTTTCTCCTTCACTGTCATTAGGCTCACCAGAGCCAGCTATGCTTTCTTTTCCCCGTCATCCCTAATATTTTCCTCAGACTGCTGTGCTTGTTAATGGGATACCAAATATCCTAATTGTGCTGCCTTAAGGGAAGAAAATATGAAGAAACTCAAGTACCAGGAAATTAACCTTCTTTACTTCTCTGGTATATGTTGAAACTGGTGTCTTTGACATAGAGCCCTCAGGGCAGTTTTCTCATGGGCTTTGCTCAATGCAAAATAAATAGTAACCTCTTAGTAATGAATGATAAATATACTGACTAATGTCAATTTAGGATCTCTTTGATTCCCTTTTCTTAAGTGGCACTAAGTTGCTGCCAGGCTCCCATTTGCCTCACCAAAAATAGCTAGGAACTGTATGCTCAGCATCATATGTGTTTGGTACTAGAGACATATTTTTTTAAAAAGGAGAAATGAAATCTCTGCCCTTGAAGAGTTTACAATCTAGATATTCAGATAAATAACTCATATAAAATGGAACCAAGCTCCATAATTATTAAGGGGATATAACCTGAAAATGATATTAGAAATCATCCCATTTAAATAATAGAAATTTTTTTAGATCTAAAGAATGGAACTTAAAGACCTCTTAAAATTTTCAAGCTGTTTCTGAGCATATCCTCTTTCTGTTATTACAACAACCTTACAAAATAGACAAGGCTGATATCAATATTGTAACCTTTCCTGCCTATAGGTAAGGAAACTGTGTTTGAGGCTAGCCTCCATGCTATCTCAACAGCACCTCTGCCCAGCCATCAATAAAGGTTAACTATTTGAAGCATTTTCTGCTGAAGCATAGCTTGGGATCCTTAGGTTAGTGATAATGATGAATATAACATTTCTAGTCTCTAGAGTTTTTCTCACCTTCTGTTTCTCCAGTTCTCTTTTTTGTTCTTTCTCTTTTTGTGGTAAAGCGTACCAGAAAAAGCCTTCATTCATATGTGTGAGGCATTCTGCTCTTGTTATCAGATTAAGAGCTGTGAGTAATTTTGTAATCTATCCTACTATCAGAAAGCCCATTCTCAGATATCTCTTCAGCTGTGTTTAACAGTTTAGTATATTCCCCTTGGGATTTGTTTCAATAAAAACATCCAGTAAAATCTTACTACAGATCCTTTGCTTTTCAAGGGACAAAATGAAGAAAGTGTTTTTATAAGCTGTAAAATGTAATTGAGAGAAAAATCCCATGTGTGGCATTTGTAGCAGGAGGTGTGAGCTCAGTGGAAAAAAAAATAGTTAATAATTGCATATCCAGGAATACATATTTCTTCTATGATTGTGTAAATTTGCACAAGTATATTTATGCAGGTTATGCATTTTGTTTTTAATTTCTTTAATTGTGTAGCTATTAAAGCCCATAGAATTCATATTAAGAGCCTATGAGCCATTTAGGGGCTCCTCACAGGCTCTGTTGGTAGAGCATGTGACTTATGATCCTGAGTTGGTGAGTTCCAGCTCCATGTTGGGTATAGAGATTACTTAAAAACAAATAAAATCTTAAAAAAAAAAAAAAAAGGAGGTTATGGGTCATATAAACTGTATAATGAACCATAGAATTTGAAAATGTATTTTTCCTGGGGTACCTGGGTAGCTCAGTCAGTTAGGCTTCTGCCTCTGGCTCAGGTCATGATCCTGGAGTCCAGGGATCCAGCCCCACATCAAGCTCCCTTGCTCAGTGGGGAGTCTGCTTCTCCCTTTCCCTCTGTTTCTCCCCCAGCTTGTGTTCTCTCTCTCTCTCACTCTCTTAAATAAAATGAATAAAGATATTTAAATATATTTTCTTTTAAAGATTTTATTTATTTATTTGACAGAGAGAGACAGCAAGAAAGGAAACACAGCAGGGGGAGTGGCAGAGGGAGAAGCAAGCTTCCTAGTGAGCAGGGAGGCCGATGGCGGTGGGGAGGGGTTTCTGTCCCAAGACACCAGGATCATGACCTGAGCCAAAGGCTGATGCTTAATGACTGAGCCACACAGGTGCCCAGAAAAATGTATTTCTTCTAATACAACAAAGTACTATTATGAATATGGTCAGGGCAATTATGAAATGTGGTCAGAGAATCACAAGTTCTAGAGAAAGCCAGGTTCCTATACTCTTAAGAATGTGATTGAGGATTTAGTCATTCAGAGTAATTTATTGAGCACTCTGGCAAAGCAGTAGAGAATAAAACAGTCTAAGATCTCTTAAGATTCTGATGCTCTGTTCAATATTGAGGAAGGCAAACAATAAATAAAATACATAAATAAAAATGTGTTAGTGAGTGGTGATGAGAGCTGCAAGGAAGCAAATTGAGAACTGTCAAGGATTAGAGAGGGTACAGTGGTAATTGAAAAATTCAGTAATAGAGCCAGGCCTTTGAACTAGAACCTGAAGGAGATAAGAAAATGAGCTATGTGGATATCTGGAGCAGGGCTTCTACTTTGTACTTCCTTGGGAGTGCCATTCTCATTTTGTTGTCTCTGGAATTGTGCAGTACACAGCCTACACAGCTCTACTTGGAGTCCCTGATTTTTTATGGGAAGTACCTGGACAGTGCCTGCCATAGTTTATTGCAGTCTCAAAGGTGGCAGTGAAGCAGTGACCCACATCCCTCAGTTTATGGTATATGGAAGAAGCAAAATCATGGTATTTTTCTGCATTCACCTGGTCCCATGTCTGCATGCCATCCTTGATCAAGGTTATTGCTCCATTCAGTTTTCCTTCTTATTTTCTACACTGTGAGCCTAGCCCAAAAGGAT